ATATTGATGAAACTGTGCATGTTTGTGTATAATGTTGTGATTTTTAGAGGAGCAGTTGAGTTATTCCCCTTGAGACACCCTAAATAAGTCAAAATTATCTCGCAAACGCCATAGGCCTAAAATTGTGATCTGATTTTGACGAAACATAGAATAAGTACATTGGTTTATGCATTGGATAGATAGAGAGGTTTTGATAGAATTTTGATGAAACTTATATGTATGTATGTTCTCGCTAATGTCAATTTACACGTTTTTATGATGCTAATATTTTGAGGCTTTCTTGTTTAAACTTTACATCATAGCATTAAGAGGAAACCAATGTTCATTCATCACAATTGTGTACCTCAAGGCTCCATTTAAGGTCCTCTCCTTTTCTTAGTGTATATCAACGACAACAAATCGTTTCTTGGCAGATGATTCATTCATGTAGGCTACGTAGTCATTTAAAGTGAAAATCTAAATAGAATCGGCAAATAACCTTAAAATGTCACTTAGTAACACTGCACTGAATCAAAAATAATTATGAACTTTTCAATGAAGATATTCTTTTTTTTTAAATGACGAGGGCAATAACTAATGAAATTTTATTTTTGTCCAATCTTGGATATTGAAAATTTCACCTATATAGCTCAGTTTGTAGGGAGGTTGATGGTCGTCTGTTAGGTCGTGTGTTCAAATCATCTTATCTTCTAACTCTAAGCCTTTTTTCTGGCAGTGACATAGCTTAGTCGGTTTACCGTCTGCAAGGTGATTTGTGCCGTGAGTTCATTTACTCTTCAATGTAAGAAAGAAGAACAAGCGCAATAACAGTCCTAACTTTTACTACCACTTGGCGGCCATTACATCCAAAACTGGAATGTGATGGTTCATTACTCTTTGACAGATATGATACAAATTTATATAGCACCTTGTCACCAATTGATAATGCCTCACTAAGAAGATACTATGACTTGACCTGTTCTTGGCACCCTGGTATTACATTTCATGTTCTAAATTTAGTATAGAGCCCTTCTTCACTAGATTAATTTTGAAATTTTGGTTCTCTTAAGCAAAACTCTGTTCTTTGAAAAGAAGATAGTCGTGAAAATTTCAGAAATCAGAATCCTATCAATCAGGAATATCAACAAACAAATCTGATCACTATAGAAACACACGTTTATATGTGATCAAATTTTGCAATTTTTAAAAAGTTGCAAAGTTTTCGCATTTCAAAACCATATAAAAAGTTTGGAGGCTAACGTTTTTATTCAGATAAATAGATTGTTACTCATAATTTGACAGTACCCGGTAATATTTTTATGAATAAGTTCTTATAGGAAATGCATCCAAATCTTCTAATCTGTGCTCATAAAATTAGCAGTCTAAAATAGGGTAAGTAAGTAAATGAACTAAATCGCTGCTTTTCTTGACTTAAATTGCTGAAGCGCCATAGATGGTCGATGGGTCCCCTGTGGCCCACTTAGGGGGGGCTCAGTGGGGTCCATAGGCGAAGTCTATTCATGCTCCAATTTACATTGAATAATTTCAAAACAAGATACAAAAGAAACCAAGGAGTTTATAGAATGGTTCTAAAAAAATTGAATGAAGGCCAATAAGAAAAGTTATTGTAAGGGAGGTCATAAAGATGTGTATGTATGTAATATGATACTGGTTAAACATTAGGGCAGAACTTTATTTTGAAACTTTAATTGGGCAGATTTATTGCAATGTAAAGACCTGATGACATATTGTTTACAGTAGACATACCAACTAATTATAGTCACTGAACCATGGGCAGTACAGAATACTCTTTTTTTGGTAGTAAAAGTTAGGACTGATAACTAAATTACTGATTAAATGTTGTCCTTTTCTATTCTCATAGAGTTTATCCTTGGGTAATAATGAACCATTTCACCAAGTTTCGCCAAAATCAATCCAGAATTGTACCTTCCTCTAGTACTACATGAAAAAAAATCTTTCGAAGAACAAGGGCTATTACTCATATTAAAATTTAATGTTCTCCAATTTTTGATGTTCATCCTCGGGTTGTAATGACACAAAATTTCACAAAATTTAATCCATTGAATACTGTGAATTCTAGTGTGTTAACGAGCTAATAATTGAAAGCGTTTCGTATATCAAAGGCAATAATTTGTATTCTATATTACACCAGGGCCCTATGAAACATGGCTCGTGTAAAAAAAAAATTGCCGCAATACACATTTTGGCAAGATAGTTTTCGATATGACTGGAACACCACATGAAAGAAATATTGCTAGAAAAACACAAACTTTTTTCTCGTTTGGTGTCGAGTTTTCACCCCATTAAACATCTGTTTAGCGTATTTTTGACTAAAGTTACATTATAAGCACAGTAAAGAAAATAGAAAGATTCTGTTACTACATTCTGTTCACCTGAGTTTTGGTCTATATGTACCTTTTGCAAGCCGAAACCAACAAGAACACATTCTTGTGGAAAGAAAGAGAAAAATTATGTAGTTCCATAAAAATACTTTTAATCCGCAACTTTCAGCGTAAACTTTTCGCAAAACAGTTTTGTAACCCACTGTATTTAAATATATTATTTGCAGTCATCGCATGACACTTAAGATCATTATTGTTCATGATTGAAGTCACACATTTTAAGTTGCGATGAAAATGTTAACAATGCTACTTTTCCACGTGTTTCAACGTATATTTTTGGAAGGCGTCTGATAGCTCAATTTATTATGGGTTCAAAATATGATGGTCTTAGCTTTGGTACTTTAAGAATAAACCTGAAATTAACACAGTTGTTGTTTTATCCTGGTTTACCCTATATATGCCATAAACCTTCTCTGTGACAGTTTTCACCCACACGGCTATTTAATGACAATTGTCCATTTTAATCCCATGTTTTTTCTACAGATCTAGAATGTAACTGTATCAAGTTATAATTTATTTTATATTAAAAATGTATAAGTATATGTGCTAGCCAGTCTTGTTTCTAGTCCACGCCAGGTTGTTATAGTTTAAACGATCTTTCACATCGTTGTTGTGCAGGCCTATAATATTGTAAGTCAATCCGTCAACAATTGCTCAGAAGGCGCATCTCGGCAAGGCAAATTATTTTACTAAATGGCAACATCACAATAATTGTTAACAATACTTTAACCATGTGCCAGTGCCTTTTATTGAATAGTAACTTTCAATCACCCTAATTTCTACCTAACACAACAGTTGTGAAAAAAACCCTAACCTTGCGCCAGTGCCTTTGGTTAGTAATAGTAACTTGTACTTCTCAACCACCAATAAATAAATTATTTAACGTTATAGGTATTGGCAATGATCTATCATTTAAACAGGTTGGAATTGTGGCTCCTGCAGTTCATTTCTCAGCAGATTTTGACGCATTGTAGAACCCACCATACTTTTATAATAATTACATATATATTATATTATTAGTAAATATTAAATCATGCAATAATACACATGCAACCACAGATCACAGTTCGTTATCTCATGTTGGCAGTGGCTCAACTACCATAGGGATTGGTTGGACTAAATCCATTCGCCCCCGCCTGTTTGCTCCCAGGAGAGGTCCACGACCCCCACTCATCTAGTTGAGCCACTTTATGTCAAATATGAGGATTTTGCGATAATGGGAAATGGGAAAATTCTTCTTTTGCAGAAGGTCAATCATAAACCACAGTGAATGTATGACTCAAGGCGAATTATTTAAAGCCAGGTTGTTATGTGTATATTACATTTCCTGACTAGCAAACTTTCAATTTTCAGGTTGCAGCTATGTTTTACGTTTCCTGAGTGAAAATAATAGAAAACCATACCTACCGTATGTATTTTGCGCCAGTGCCTTTGGTTAGTAATAGTAACTTGTACTTCTCAACCACCAATAAATAAATTATTTAACGTTATAGGTATTGGCAATGATCTATCATTTAAACAGGTTGGAATTGTGGCTCCTGCAGTTCATTTCTCAGCAGATTTTGACGCATTGTAGAACCCACCATACTTTTATAATAATTACATATATATTATATTATTAGTAAATATTAAATCATGCAATAATACACATGCAACCACAGATAACAGTTCGTTATCTCATGTTGGCAGTGGCTCAACTACCATAGGGATTGGTTGGACTAAATCCATTCGCCCCCGCCTGTTTGCTCCCAGGAGAGGTCCACGACCCCCACTCATCTAGTTGAGCCACTTTATGTCAAATATGAGGATTTTGCGATAATGGGAAATGGGAAAATTCTTCTTTTGCAGAAGGTCAATCATAAACCACAGTGAATGTATGACTCAAGGCGAATTATTTAAAGCCAGGTTGTTATGTGTATATTACATTTCCTGACTAGCAACTTTCAATTTTCAGGTTGCAGCTATGTTTTACGTTTCCTGAGTGAAAATAATAGAAAACCATACCTACCGTATGTATTTGGGAATGGCCATGAAAAGAAAAATAAACTAGAAAAGCAATATTTATTTTATATAGTTATATTTAGAGATGTTCTGGTAGACCTAAACCAGGTTAATCTGCAATGTTTATATCTACATATATATTTATCACTCTTTCTCAAAGTATCTTTAAAATATCTTGTTATATTATTTGTTATCCTGCCTCTGATAATTATTTTAAATAAAATATGAGTTATAAAGCACATTTATGTCGGTTCCAAAGGGCCTAAACATACAGTGCATGGTATGCGGTGCTACGTCCGCTCTACGGTTGCAGAAACAGGAACGCGCCGTGCCTATTTTGTCGTTCTAATAGGATCCGGCGAAACAGGCACCGTTTTCTCGAAGAACCAATTGGGTTAATTCGATTAGAAACTGGCTGCTGATTGACCCAGACTTATCTGGCATTAGTGCCAGTCTAACTTATGCTGATTCTTGATTAGCTGAGTAAAGTTAAGTTTAGTTAGCATTATGAGTAAACAAAAGAATAAGATTAATATTATCAGGTGGTACCGACTCATACGGAAGCATATTAGGGCCATTCATTTTTTTTTTTTTTTTTTGAATTTTCAAGTTAGTATGTTGAATTTTCAAGTTAGCAACTCGAATTTTCAAGTTAGTTACTTGAATTTTCAAGCTAGTATGTTTAATTTTCAAGCTAGTATGTTTAATTTTCAAGTTAGTATGTTGAATTTTCAAGTTAGTATGTTGAATTTAGTAACTTGAATTTTCAAGTTAGTATGTTGAATTTTCAAGTTAGTATCTTGAATTTTCAAGTTAGTATCTTGAATTTTCTAGTTAGTATCTTGAATTTAGTAACTTGAAAATTCAAGTTAGTAACTTGAAAATTAAACGACTTTTCAAGTTAGTGTGTTGAATTTTCAAGTTAGTATCATGAATTTTCAAGTTAGTATCTTGAATTTTCAAGTTAGTATCTTGAATTTTGTAATTTGAAAATTCAAGTTAGTAACTTCAACATACTAAATTCAACATTCTAACTTGAAAATTCAAAAAAAAAAAAAAAAAATGAATGGCCCTAATATGCTTCCGTAGACTCGTCATGTACAATAAGTTGATTTATATAGCTGACACATCAATATATTATTTAGTCTCTAGATGAAAATTTCAATTTAATGTTTCTGAACTTCTCAAAAATCCTTCCGTAATGGCAAATTAATTAATTCTTTTCCACATATCGAGAAATCACTTGATTTTAACGACCTTGAAATCATATTGAGACACACCTCAACCTTGCTTCATTCGCGATATCAAAAGATCTTTGAGAATATCAGATCAATTAGTCTCAGCTCATATCATTATCACTTATTCTTTCCCGCACTTTATAAAGAAGTTATTTTATTAAGACGATAGAAAAATCATTATATTACAATATAAAAACGATTGGATGATATAACTTAATCATGATAGAAGGTTTATAGGAAATATTAATTCTTGCCACTATTGAAGATTATACCATTACTTTCCCTTAATCCGTGTGATGTCTGAACAATTTTCTCATAAAATGCCATAACCATTCACTTTTAATGTCCGCAGCAACCGGTAACATTCAAATTACGTAATGGGAAATTCTAGTTTATATCACATATCAAAGCTAAAATCAAACGAAATGCTACTTTAAGTTTTCTAATACGAATTCCGCCCAAGTTCACAGCGCCGAGTAGCATTAATTGAAAATGTCCAACTAAACGTTTAATGAGCCAGTGGAAGGAAATTACTTAAATACTAAAAATCGACAGATTCATTTTGACATTTGAAGGAAATCTAATCAAATTTTTCTTCAAAGAAGATATGATAGACCTTCTATTGAAGAGACAAATTACACTTTCTGATACGAGACAAAGCAATATACAGGTCAAATATGACGGTTAGAAAATCTGAAAGTGCATAAAATGCATGTTTCTTGAAATTTTCAATTCAACTGTACATTTATTCATCTATGGATGTTACGTTTAAGACAGTTATAGGTCCATTACCCGTTTATGAACAGATGAACTGGATGCTGGATAGAGGAATGTGAATATCCAATCAAATCGATGCATTTAGTGTACAAGAAAGAAGTTCGTAATAGTAGCTTGATATCGTGAATATGGCTAATAGTTATATATTTAATGTCAAATACATTTAGATATATTTCAATGTTTGTCCTTTTAACAAAATTGTTTATCAAGAACAATATATGCCGGGGTCTGTCTACATCTGTTGATGTTTTGCATCTTTTTTTAACAAAATATGTGTGAATTTTGAAGAACAGCTGGAATGGTATTCTTTCACAGAATTTGGTTCACATAATTTAATTATGCAGGGTTATCAGCAGCTGGGATATAAAGTGTGACATTGACTGCTCTTTTTTTGAGTTCCATTAGTTTTGGTATACAATCAGGTTATTCAACTAAAACATTACCGCACTCCCAAATCATTATTACTCGTATAGCTCTAAGAGGTTGTCCGGGCTTTACAGCAACTATCTTTCTTGTAAATGTTGGAGAAAGGGATAACTTTGGAATAATTTGCATTTTTCAATTATGATTTCGCACCTTTTCATGGGCAGAACAGCTCTTTTTATAGCATAACATAGATATGGAGAGAGAAACAACAGCTGTTTTCCACACGTCAAAACTGTCTTCTACATTCAGTACAGGTCACCGTCTGTTCACTGAAATATGTTGAGATATAATAACCTGTTATCCATGTAGTTAAAGAAATTCTTTCCAATTCATCGTATCAGAAACAGATTTACCGACACATGTTAATACAGCAGAACACTTTGTGCTACATCTGTAATTTCTAATTTTTATATTGAAGATTGAATTTGATATATTTTGAAGGCCTGATTTATAGCAAGAATATTGGTTATAATTGAAACTAAAGAGATGTATCCTCGATAAAGGTAGGGTAATTTCCAACGTAGCTTCATTTGGTTGACTACGGTATCTATTGAAATCATCATTTTTGATTATCCAAATCGTCATCTTCTGTTTTAGATTGAATTTTGCCTGAACGATATTCTCTGTAAACATTGTTTTCGACAATTAGGCTATACTTACTGTATACGAGATCTTTTAAACCTCACCGTGAAAGACTTCTACCAAGTCGTGGTTTTCATTTATTTCTCTATATAGTCACTTTCAAGGTGTCCACAACTTTGCATGCAATGTTGCGAAATTTTCTTCAGCCACCCTAAAAAAGTCATACATAGTGGAGTTGCCCACAAAACTGGTCATATGTCGAGTGGTTAATCGTGTCATGCCATGCACCTGGGTAATATTTTCCGGGATGATTACTGTTGAAGACAATTCCTCGGCCATTTACAGTGGAAATGGAAGGGCCATCGTCACCCCTACATGTCAACATGCATCTGTGTTGGATATGCAGGTATTTGTTGACTGCACCAAAGTCAGTTTTGTCCATTTCTGGTTATTTCATTTCGGTAGGCAAATAACAAATCAATTTTAGGTAGCCATTATAGCCCTATCGCACCGGATTGTGACAATGTGCGATTTTACAGCGATTAGACATGTGTAAGTTGAGTTCACTTTTTGTTTACATTTTGTAAGGGATAAGGATAATAAATATAATATAAATTATATCTCTATAGATTTCAGTTATTTGAGATCCTCCTCATCTTTTTTTTGCAAAAACAATAATTTATGTATAAATAGGCAAATATGGTCAAGTATAAGCGTGCTGACAAGTCGACTCCAACTCAAATTTTTTTAAAGTGAAAACAGATAGAGAAATTATCTGAGAGTCATCGGATTTTCCACATCTAACATTTGCGTTAATTTATGCTTTTATAGATCCTACAATATACTATCAGAATTTCACTTGTTTGGTGATATTTGAATTGTAACTAGCTATTATTCTATTGTAATTCAATAAGAGTTGATATTTATTGGGAAATGAAGAAATTGCCTGCTGTGTTATTACTAGTTTGTTTCCTTTTCACCACAAACATTAAACATCGCGTGTCATCTGCGTCCTGTCACATATGACAATGTCCATCTGTTGTTGACCATTATGGTCAAACAGCGACAAATATTAACAAGGAATCGTGATGTGCATATTGATAAGTGGACGGTGGTCAGATGTTATTAAACACCATCAGTGATAATTACATTAACCTCTTGGTGACTCGATTATCAAAATAATTGTAAATGTGTAATTAATCAGGCTGAATACAATATGGCGTCGTTAAGGGGAGATAATATATGGATAGAAAGTAATCTCTATTGTCAAATCATCAATCTTTTGAGTCAGTTGGAGCATAAGACTGTAATATGATGTTGTCAATGTGAGTTATGAAGGTGTCGGTATGCTGTTTATTCAGGATTTGTTATAATCTGTAATTATTCCATGAACTACATTCCTTTGTTTTGCTTCAGAGAATTTGAAATTAAATGACAGAGCCATGAGCAAAAGTGGTAATCATATTGCTTTAGTCGGTAAATCATTCCATTTACCACTGTCAAGACCTTTATACACCAGGTACGAGACAACACGGTACAAAAATAGAAACAATATAAACTGCATAGACTATACATACTTGGTACGGTTTGACATGACAAAGAGAAATAGACAAATTTTCTGTCGTGTTGTTCCATGTCGACCACTTGGTTTTCAGTAAGAAAATGGCGAAGCTGTCTTTAAAAAAATAAACACAAGCAGTTGACTTTGGTTGTACGCCGTTTCCATCAATTTTAGGTATCATACTAAACGTCGTATCGTGACGTGTCATGTCGCACAGTGTTTTGTCGTATTGTCGTTTTTCCGTAGTCAGAACGGAATTTTCTTGGACACAGAAGATTTCTAATGGAAAAACTTGGCGAGGGCAATCAACTGTACTTTCTTTCACTACGTATATAAATTCTTACATTTGCGAAGCTTTTGACCGTTAGTTTTTTACAGCGGCCTTTTTCGACCTAGAAATATTTAGATAATCAGTTTAAAACAGAAGGCTGATAGTACTGACCTATTTATTATTTCAGTACTATATAGTGAATGTAAATAATGATTACAGGAGATTTGTGTATAGTGTTAATAGTAAATCACATCAGATATAACATGGGCTCTTTTAGATAACGATGGTGTTAACCTTTATTCTCTAGACATAGGAATTCAGGAAACATTCAAGATAAATAATCTAACACAGAAATATTCATTAAAAACCATAATTCAACAAAACAAATTGTTCAAATTAAACTACTTATTATTAAAATAGACGAATTTTGAACAATTTTCACAATTATGTTAAAAGCTTTAACACGAAAACACATTTTCCCAATTAACTTTACAGAAAAAAGATGGCGTGGTCAAATTTAATAATTAATAAACGATTACATATAAAGTCATATACCGTTAATCAAAATCAAATAGAATGTCATTGGTGAAACATAAACACTTGTTTCTTATATTGTATATTTTATAGAAACGAAGACAATGAGAGACGGATGAGTCTAGTATATTTATGAATTATAAAGGTAGTTTGAAATTTTCGGGGATGTTGATGCTTTGATGATGTCCCTTTGGATAATGATATCGCCGATGCGAGGCGTTCAACGATAGGATTTTTATCATTTTCCCCAATATGCTCTATATTACGAGACGAGATGTCTAACGGATGCACCCTAAGCTTCCACGATGTATCGGCAAACCCTTAATGACTTCTCTTTGAAGCTCTTCACTTTCCACCAGGTTTT